TTAAAACTTCATGTTCTTCAGGTTGGTGTGAAAGGAGATTGTAAGAATTTTAATAGAGGTGTGGACTGTGATGTTCTAGTCGCTGAGGTTTGTTCGTGTTCATAAATTCTCATCTTAGTGTAGTTAAGTAACTCTAAACGAACAAGAGGAAAAAGATGAAAACGAGCTTAAAGCTCGCTTTTTTCTTCCTCTTATTCTCTCTATGATATTGCTTTGCGCATACTGAATTTCACACCCACCAGAGAAATTGCAATAGAACTGACGAAAAACGCGGGCCGTATTCACTTCCTTTAGTTATTAATCCCGAGAAACAAAATCAGAACCACACAGAGTTCTCGTTATTTTCTAGTAAAAGAGGCAAAATCCTTTGAATCTGAAAAAAAAACTCCTACAAACAATTTTAGTACAGCTTGCTACTGATGTTTTTGAAATTTTAACTGAAATTATATGCATACTGAGTAACAAACCAGATGAAATCTAATGTATGGAGTGATTGAAAGGCTTGCACCAGGCACAAGGAAAATAGGTGAGAGCAGTTTTTCCTTACATGTGTGTATGAACGGTTCGTAGCTTCAGATCAGAAAATACAAAGACCTACTATTGGCTTGGCTTCTCTGTTTCTTCTCTTCTCTTGGCTTCTCTGTTTCTTGGCCAATCAAGCGCTTACTAGTAGATCACGTGCGATTTTTGGAGCACCGACTGGTCGAGGAACTTAGAATACGTGTCGGAAATAACACTGTTAAGTAGTAAAGTAGACAATGTTCTACTTTTTACTTTTGTGAATTTCTAGAACTGTTTGGAGGACAGCACAACGTTCAACCGAACTGGTAAGTAGTTTATTTATAGTTCTTGAAAAAAAAGTAAAAAACTGGATCGTAACATCATGCATGGTATGTCTGTAGGACGGTATGTACTCAAAATTCAAGGCCGAGTGCCATTTTCAGGTCTTATTGGTATCCCTGGGCACCTTCAAACCGTCAGCGTTTGAGTATTCTATTTGTTTTTGCTCCTTTGGGAGCTCAGTGCAGAGAAATTTACAAGTTTACGCTTAAAAAGTGTGGCAGGCGCGGTGGCCTCATGGCTAGTGCGCTCGTATCCGGATCGAGTGGTCCTGGGTCTAGCCTTGGCCGGGGACATTGTGTTGTGTTCTTGGCCAAGACACTTTACTCTCACAGCGCCTCTCTCCACCCAGGTGTATGAATGGGTACCGGCGAATTTAATGCTGGGGTTAACCCTGCGATGGACTAGCATCCCATCCAGGGGGAGTAGAAATACTCCTAGTCGCTTCATGCTACAGACACTGGGATAAGCTCCTGCCTGATGAGCCACTTGGCTGGTATGCAGACTTTGTAAGTGTGACTGTGGCGAAGTAACTTACTCTGGTAAACTAGCTACAAATATTGTAGTTGTTATTGTTGATGACAGTCTCGTGTATAATTGGGTGTTTGTTTTCTTTCAACAGGATAACTCTGGGAAATCAATTGGATGGCGTTCGACTTTTAGATCCAGACGTGACAACGCGCTTCAAAAAACGTTACCCGGACGGAAATGTACTTAAACCACCCACCACTAAAGCGTAGCACACTGGTGATGCTTACTCTTCAACGACAGACCAGCAAGTTCTGCTGAACAAAATTCATGTCCACCAAAACAAGCTGTGAATGTCAACTCCAAAAGTAAAACGGCTTGATTTTCTTGG